CAGTTAATTAATGCACTGCACCTCTTAGCTAAGCTATCCCAGTAGTTAATTGTCAAAAACATTTGCTTTCTGCTTTGAGCTTTTCTGACTTCCATCAATTGCATCTTGTCATACTTCTGCTACTAAAACAAAGATTTAGTGAAGTACCACTATTTGTGATATCTCCAAGCCATAACTTTTTCCAGATAAACTACAGTGACTGAGCTCCTTAAGTTTTTCATCATAATGCTTGTTTTCTTGACAAGCAATTCGCCTCTACCCTGAACTCCCTCTGATGTTCAGCATACTATTTAAAGTGTTTGTCACCCAATGAATCTGCCAGTTGATAGGTGATAATCTCTTTTGAAAACCTGGCTCCAGTTTCTGGAGTAGAGCACTTGGAGAACAAATCTCATATTCAACACAATACCATCTTAAAAAGCAAAGTAAACAATCCAAGGTAGAGAATGAAAGTGCACTTACTCCTTCTTAACAAAGAGAAATACCATTTCATTGTAAAAACAAGTCTTCGTTCCAAAACTAAGAATTTTAAAATGTAAAATTGAACTGTATGATCATGAAGACAAATGCAGTACTGGTAACAATGGACTAGTCTGAAATAAAACAGGTTAAGGGCTCTGATCCATCTCCTGGAAGCATTATCTCCTATAAGCAAAGTGAATTACTGTGTACCCCATAAACATCTCTGATAAAGCCCTTAACTCCTTCGGTTTCTAATGCAACTTCTTAAAACAATTCTAAACACCACAGTCATTAGGAAGCAATGCCAAAAGGTTTTCAAATAGAATAATCAAAATGGTTCCACATAGATTCAGCCCTTTAACACACAATTACCTCAAGGGCATACAATCAAAATCAAATAAGTAAACCTTAAATCAGCATAACATTACAAAAGGACACTCCTTTTGTGTGTACTTGCATACTGAAGTTCTGTTGTCAACTGTCAGATTACTACATTGCTGGAGACTTCTAGGCAAAAACTAAGTGTCATTGAATCACAGCCAGCATGGCTACAGGCGTCCTAAAGGCACTGTTAACACTCAGAACAACAGCAGCAGTGATAATTTTTTAGTTTGACAGGTGCTAAATACCTGACTATAATTCTATTTTTACTACAGCTATTGCCCAACACTTCTGAAATGACCTTACAGTAAGAGCATTATAAAGAATGGCCTTAAAGCAGTACTGTTCCAGCAGAGGAACGTATGGACACCTGCCCTTCAATAGGAACAAAGTCCCATGTAAGAACAAAGGAAGTGCGCATCTACTACAGCATCCCAAGAGCGTTGGGATCTATGACTAAGTCCCCTCTTATCCCAGAGTGCTTTACCATTTTGTCCTATCCCATTTCCCCTGTAAGTATTCATGTTGCAGATCTAACACATTTATTTATGTAACACGTATTTAGGTTGATACAAAACAAGGCTCAATGTAAAGCTTACTTAACTCTTACTGGAAGCATCCCAGTAAATCACAGAGCAAGAGAACAGTTTTACAACTCGCTGTGGCATGAAGCTATTCTTTTTTTAGTCAAATTTCAGAGATGACAGTCAGTGTCAAGGAAATTAAAAGCTTGTTTTAATTCAAAGGGATTCCTAGACAATCTCCTGGACAAAAAAGGAAAACTACATTTCTTGGAGACAGGTATCTCCTGGAAGGCTTCAAAACTGCAGACTGGCCATAAACTGATATTTTCAACCCAAAGAAGTTTGTCTAGTGGATGCAACCCAACCCTAGAAACACGCAGAAAGGTTAGTTCGCCACATGTTAGATGGATGAAGGAGAGAGACTATTAAGTGAGCAAATGAGTAATAAAATAATGAGATTGCTGAAAACCAAGTAATTTTAAGTCCACTTAGCACACTGAAGCATCTCTATGCTGGGTCACACAAATGTCACAATGGGAAGAACGAGAGGCACAGGAACATGAAGCCCATAGCAGGGCTGGGGGTGGGTCTGCAGTAGCCAGCACTTTGCTTGGCCAGCCAAGCGACCACAACCTGAGTGTGAACAGCTCCTGTGCATTTCTTCACCTGCATCATTTATCAGCACTTGGAAGAGGTCAGCCTACATTGCACTGTTGGTACTTTATCTTCATCTGGCCTGAGTTAAACATACTTCCAACTAACCTGGCTATTGACCCTTCTCTCAGAAATGTAAGGCAAACCTGTAGAGATGGAGCTCTGCGTTCCTCTAGCCTACAGCAAGAAGTAAAGCTCTGACACGCAGCAATGTATTTGGGAGCAGATATAAATATGGTAGGAGTTCATCACAGACTGTAATAGTAACTAGACTTGGCATATAGATACAATTCAGTATTTCACAGTGTTTGGGACCCAGAATAATGGCAAAGAGCATCGTTCAGGCTTCTTGACCACAATACTAGATGTCATCTACACGGTTCAGCTTTGCAGCATTAAAGTCTCCAACTCCAAGAACTTCCCAGCTTCCTCCTCTGTAATCACCAAAGAATTTAGCCACCCTGACCAGTTCCGTGCCAGCTATTTGCAAAATCAGAATCTGAAAGCTCTGAGAAGTCTGACCAACATATGCTAGTAACTTGTGGGTTTTGTATAAAGAAAGCCAGAACTTAATTACTGGCCTCACTGCCCATTTTAAAAAGACATTTCTGTTGGCAATCTGCTGACTGTGTGAAAACACAAGACTTTCTACCCCATTCTGAAAATTTCCAGTTAAAAGCAATTTAATATAAACCATCAACCCAAACACACTTGCCTCTTGTATACTTCTACCACTCATAGGAGTTTGATCCCTATTTATAAATCAGAGTCAACGTGGGTGATTTTAAACATCCTTCAAAAAAAAACAGTTTTAATTTCCCATCTGTCCTGTAAACTTCAACACTGAAGAATTACGTTGCTATATTGCACTTGATGTCTCATGTCTAAAAAATAAGGACAGAAGCAGATAACCATATTTCATTCAAAAGCAATATTCATTACTTTGACTACATAAAACACTTACTTTACCATGAATGGATTTATATTCATACTGTATATAATTGTTTGTCTCCAAACAGATGGTAGTGACTCAACATTTGCCAGTAGGGCTATGAATATGCCCTTAATCTAATAGAGAGAGCACATAAATTGTTATCAATTAAATGTGCACACTCCACAAACTCAAGATAAAAATGTCACCAACTCTAAACGGCTTCAGTCCCAATCCAGGTCTGTGCTTTTGGCAGAGTAATTAACCCAAACCTTAACCCTTTCATAGTCAGACCACTTTCTTTCCAAAGCAGGACACAATTAAAAGCATCTTCTTTAATAAATAAATATGGCAGCTTTTCAAATCCCTCACTGCAAATTCTCCAAGCAACTGCTGTTGAGATTAAACTCTCAAAACCAGGTAAAATACTACTCTAGAAAAACATAAAACGACTTATCGGGTATAGAAAGCAAATTAACTAAGACACAGAGAACATCTCTAGTCTCTCTCATCTGGTTTTGCTTTGTTGTTTGGGGGGTTTTTTTTAAATAATTTCAGCTTTTGCCTAGTTTATTTTCTTAATAGCATTGCATAACATTTTGGAAAGATTCAATCACAGAAGATAGAACAGCCTATCTTCTGTTCTGTGACTGAAAGCAGGCAGTGCTTTTACACCTAATACACCTTTAGTACCTCCAAATGCAAAAGCTTCTGACAACACAGTTAAATATAGAGCAGAAACAGCATGGGGAGATAGATGCATGCCTGCTATTAAACAAGGATGTTGAGATTCTCCAGATGGCTTGAAAGTGCAGAGTATTGTGATGGGAAGGGCAGTGAAGATCTGAAAACAGAAGAAAAGATGCCCTGCTGCAGACAAAATTAAGTGTTATTGAAGCATATTCAGAGTCTGCTAGAAAGCCAGACATATATCACTTGAAATAACATGGAATTTTGCAAAGTCAAGAGTGAGAATTCAAACTAGAGAAAGCTACTCCCAATGAAAGTATGATGACAGCCTGAGAAGTAATTACAGAATTTAAACTCAGAAACACTCTCCAAGCCCTTGCAGATGTGACATTTATAGTGTTTAAGACAATTATGAGATCAGATAACATAAACCCACATCAGTTGCCAGTTAAAACATTGTCTTCTGGTTGCTGGCAACCCCATGTCAAAGGGCACAAAGAACTATGCTATATGCTACCAGAGTAACAGCTCCCACCACACTGAAACTCACCCAAGCCAACTGCTCTCTGACCTCCCTATTTCAAGAATCAAATATTCATGTGTTCAGATACCATCTGTCCCCGAGCCCTTTCCTAATTTTTAACTATCTAATCAATTACCTTACACAAACAACTCTAAGTGATCTGCCCCCAAGCAAACGAAGCGTTTGACAACACTGACACCAAGCGACAGAATCAGAAAAACATAAACCAAAACCACCTCCATGTAGAAACGTTAGAGCAGTTTATCAGTACACTCTGAAAGAGGCAAAGTCTTACTTTATCAAGAACACAAAATGATGAGAGCTGACATTTTCACAGAAGCCGTGCGTACATAACAAATAAGCTAACGTTAACAATATCTTGCAAGCACGAGTGAAAGACTGCGTACACTTCAAAGCTTTATACAATCTAGCCTGGTAAATTCCTTTCCAAAGAAGAGAAAATCAGTGGTTTCCATGCACAGTCAATATATGATTCCTTTAACTTATATGGATTTTGTTCAGTTTTCAAGTCAAAAATATCCCAACAGTACTTTTATGCCCTTTAATAAAAAAAAAAGAAAAAGTGATGTGTTAATGCAGAGTTTAATAAACTGCTAAGTCTCACTGACTTGCTTTACCCATCTTTCTGTTGAGAAACCAAAACTCATGCAGCCCAACATCACACCCATTAAACAGAATTGTCACCCCTCCTGCTGGCTTACCTGATGACATGACACACAGCATAAAACCCTACTGATACAACAGTAACTGTCAGCCGCATCAGTTTTACCACCCACACTGTTTATGCCCTCCTACCAGGCTTCCATCTTCTTACCTGCTGACGTTTGTATGCCAAATAATCAAGATTCTCCAGATCTTTTTGAAACTTCTGGTAGGTTTTCTGAAGGTCAGATTTACTGGATACATTTCTTAAAGATTCAAATGTTCTTTGAAACTGTAATGGTAAAAAAAAAAAAAAACAACAAAACACAACATCACTTACACAGCTGCTGTATTTTTCACTGTATTAGGATTTTATTCTACTAATGTTACAGAGCTGTGTCACCTCTTGAGTATACCAACTTCTAGACATTCCTCCAATTTTCTTTTGAAATCAATCCCAGGATTCAAAGCATAATACATATGACCTGATTAATTAAATTAAATCCCCTAATTTCATAGGTCAGACTTGTGTAAGACAAAGCACTAGCAACCAACACAATTGCTAAAGGTTATTTCTTTTTTCATGCCATGTTACAGGATGGAATTTATTCAGATAGATTTAATTTTATTTCTACCTAATAAAAGCACATGCAAATTTATACAGGCCATGAACTCATTCTATCAAGCCTAACAGTGGATCTTTATATATAAGAGAATATTCCCTATCAAGTTAATTTACTTAAGAGTAATTTGCAACACCAAATACTCAGCTGTATGAAAGTTGGGACAATGTTAATTATACTTTGTTACAGATCTTACTTTTAAATTTAAAACTTCCTTCATGCATAGACTATTATTAAAAACAGTACTGGTATTTTTCAAAGTGATGAACAATACCAACCCAGCTGTAGGGAACTACAACAGAAAGGCTCAGATCTGTGCGAAAGGAGACGGGGAGCTACCTTCCTTGCTACCTTCAGGAAATCATGAACCTTCTCCGGCTTTCTGTTTCCCCATCTATAAATATTACCCTCCACCTCAAGCATGTGACAGCTGTAAAGCCCTAAGTAGTTTAGAAATACTTTGTTATCACAATGATCACCACCAGCAGCAAGCCTATGAACATTTATTTACACTGACATAATCAGGAAGAACTACATGTCTGCTAGCTCTATCCAAAAAACTGACTTAGCTTCCTAGGGTTACTGGCCCTGTAGATGAAGTACCTACTCTAAGCTTGGCTGTGGTACTGATGTTCAGGGAATGAGGCAAAAGCCCAAAAGACGGACTGCTTTCCACTCAGTTCTGGAAAACCAAGCACTTCAGTAGCAACTAGAGCACACATTTGTCTATTACTTTGCTAAACTTACAGCCACTGAGTTGGAAAAATGAACCATAAGCAGAGAAGGAAAAATAAAAAAACCACCATCACACTGAAACAACTCCATTCATCTCCAGTCCTTCAAAAAGTCACAAGAGAACTGACACCTAGTGCTGACTGTGGATGTGGACTGCTGCAGTGACTCATTCTGTGGGCATCTGACTGACACCAAGCCCAAGGTGTATACGCTGTCCACCAGCCACTAGCTGTTAGCTCTGCATCTTTCTGTAAAAGATTAAGGTCACTGTACACTGCTGCTACCTCGTTCAGCTGTCGCAAGCAAACTGATCCATAATACGAGCATTTGAGGAATAAGTAATGATATTAAAGGCAGTTGCTGTCTGCTTTTTAAAGTCTAGTTCAATTATTACATTTCAATAACACAATTGTGCAGCTGCACTTCATGGCATCCTTTATGGAATCCCAAGGAAATAGCTTCTGTACTAGTCAAGTTGTTTGGTCTGAAGTTTTGGTTTAAGTCAATATCAAATTTGGATAAGAAGAGTCTTAGTCTAGGACTTGGTATAGGCCACAGTCTCGAAGAGCATAGGAATACCTTAGGTAGACAAAATTCTCTCTAAGTTTAAAGGGATTCCCTTGACAAGCCTGGGAACCTCGATATGGGCCATGAAAATTACTGGCCTGTCAGCTAAACAGGAGGCCAGGCCACAAAAACATGAGATCATAAATACGCAGTGCAAAGTACTGCATTACTTACGATTCAGAGATGCAGGAGAAGACATCATTAAATATGGAGTAAAAACTCTTATTCCTGGTAATAGTCTTACAGTCTCCATGTAAACAGAAAGACGTATGGGGACAGCAGATACTGCCTCTTCAGCGTGTGAATGATGATGTCTTAGAAACCACATACCACTAATGCCATTGTCTGGGAGTCCAGCTAAATCATAAGAGTGACATAACCAAAGGTCTGGCTGCACATCCTTTACCTGGTCTCCTTCTGCGGACTTGGTTCAGATTTAGGGCCAATGCTGCAAAAAGCCAGTCTCTTACTCAAGAAAAAGAAGAAATGGCTCTTTTCTGGTTTGTCTAGAGCTGCAGAAGTGAAAGAGTATTTGTCTCTCATCATCTTCCACTGTGCATGCAGCAAAACAGCACTGAAGTACTTTATCCATATTTCTCTACATTTTCACATGGATTAGAAGTTGAATTGAACAAGAAGCAAATTTTATTTCCATTCTGACATAAGGAAGCCATTCATTAAAAGATACCTTCTTGTTTTTATAGCATACTGCTTCTTTAAAAGACTAAATTGTACTGTTTTAAAACACCAGGCGATATGGTTGAAAAAATACATTCAAAACTTGCCTTAAATTCCAATTACTGAACACACATACTTAAGAGGAAATAGTTGCCCTCCCAATATTTTGCTGTAATGGAACAGGCAACATGCCTCTTTGGAGAGGTTTATAGAGAGTAGGTCACACAGCTTTTTCCATTCAGAAAATATGTATTATTTTGCCCTCATTTTAAGAAGGTCTGAGGATATGCATTTTGATGGCAAACAGATACTGCTTTGCATACATTTCCTCATTTTTGCCTTCCAAAGCAGAAGCAAGTTATAAAATAAATTTCTCTAGATCAGAATCATCTGTGCACACTTGAGTTACAAATAATTGTTGACCACACAAGCCACTCTACATGACACTGACTTCATTACTATACTGCCAAGAGAAACTGATTTTCCAAGTTTATTTTATCAACCTAGAATTTGCCTTCCAAGATTAGCGCTCATAGAAGGAAATTGCAGATTTCCCTAGTATTGTCTTATAAGCACTGCACTTCAGTGTTAAGTAAGTGTTGCTGTAGAAGCAAAACACAGTAATAACTACTTGAAGTAAACAATTCAGGAATGCTCTTTTTTTCCTGATTAAGTTCCAAGAGAGTATACTTCAATGGAGTCCTAGTCATGGATTGGAGCATGCAGGCATTTACACAGTAATTTAAAATACGTCTGCTTTTCTAATATCCCACCTTCCAACTTTCCCCAAATAATTTTCAAATTTCATCATCAGACATACTAGAGATTTCTCAAACTCAGTTGTACACTGGCAGCTTAACATTGCGTGTTAACCTACACTACAAACGACCTTTGTATCCTAGACCTCCCTAAGCTTTGTGCTTACAACTTACTTGATTTGGAAATTGCCTCACAACTTTACAATCATTTATTTTTATAAAAAATTAGTATATAAATATCTTTCATACTATTTATGTTAAACCAAACCAGAAAAATTCTGTCCTATTTTAAGAAAGCCTTATCCATTAAAATAAGCTCTACTTCTTTCACTTCCCCTCCCCCTTATGCCTGGGCTGTGCAATGAGTTTGTATAAAGCGTAAGACCAAGTGAGTCCAGATCAATTTGCTTTCATAGAATC